AAAAAAAAAAAAGAGCCTATTCTCCAGAGAGGCTGCACCATGTTACTTCCACCAGCGGCCTGTGATCCAATTTTCCTACATCCTCAACACGTGTGATGGTCTTTTTGATGATAGCCAACGTAGAGGGTATGAAGTAGGATTTATTCTTTATTCCTGGTTATTAAAAAAAAAGGGGGGTGCCTGGGTGGCTCAGTTGGTTAAACCGCTGCCTTCAGCTCAGGTCATGATTCCAGAGTCCTGGGATCGAGCCCCGCATCGGGCTCCCTGCTCATGCAGGAAGCCTGCTTCTCCCTCTGCCTGCCGCTCCCCCTGCTTGTGCTCTTTTTCTCTTGCTATCTCTCCCTCTGTCTCAAATAAGTAAATAAAATCTTAAAAAAAAAAAAAAAAAACTAAGGGTGCCTGGGTGGCTCAGTTGTTAAGCGTCTACCTTCGGCTCAGGTCATGATCCCAGGGTCCTGGGATGGAGCCCCACATCGGGCTCCCTGCTCTGCGGGGAGCCTGCTTCTCCCTCTCCCGCTCCCCCTGCTTGGTGTTCCCTCTCTCACTGTGTCTCTCTGTGTCAAATAAATAAAATCTTTAAAAAAATAAAAATTAAAAACAATAACACTGCATCCTGTGCAATGAACACTACCTGCCACAAGAAAACAAAGACACACCTTTTTCTCCGCAGCTGAAACAGAACCTCATGAGGGAAAGAGGAAAGTGGAATCTCTGTGGCCTATCTTCAGGATCCACCACCAAAAAACCCGGTATATTTTTGACCTCTTTTACAAGAGGAAAGCCATAAGCAGAGGTAATGAACTAAATTCTCTCCGCCTCCCCAACTTGAGTAGCTTTCACATTTATTTCATGGTTCTTGTTCTTGCAACCTCAGCAAGTGTCAAGTTTTCTTACTGGTAAAAAAAAAAAAAAGCGGGGAGGGGTCGGCGTTGGCTAAATATTCTTTCTAGTGAAGAGTAGTGATGGGCCGGGGCTGGGGAAGCTTTGTGATACCATGGTCTGATGCCCTTTCCCTTCTTTTTGACAGAACTATATGAATACTGTATTAAAGAAGGCTATGCAGATAAAAATCTGATAGCAAAGTGGAAAAAGCAGGGCTATGAGAACTTATGCTGCCTGCGCTGCATTCAGACAAGGGACACCAATTTTGGAACAAACTGCATTTGCCGGGTCCCCAAAAGCAAGCTGGAAGTGGTAACGTCTCTACCCCTGTAATGTCTGATGATCGAGTTTGAGGTCACTTTTTCAGTTCAGAAGTCTGCCCTAGTTGACCGCAAGGGATCGAACATGATTTTGCTGACTGTCCTGCTGGCCATGCCCCAGGGAGTGAGTCCCTCTCCTGAGCAGTCCATGCTGGGCAGTGTGGCAACACTCGTGTGTTAGGTCTGGGGGCCAACTCAACTGCACCCTTGGGCAAGTTATTGAATTCCTTCCCCACATAGGAAGTGGGGGTGAGAACACCCACCCCCTAGGTGGTGGGGAGGGCTGAGTCAGGGGAGCATGCTCACCCCAGGTACCCTTTTCTCCAGGCCTTCTCCTCAGATGTGTTCCGTTGTATTTCTTCTGTCAGAACTTTGTTCTAAAACTCACTGGGCAGCTCAGGAACAGTGCTGCACATGCAGTTGCTGAGCTGATGGCGTCAGCCTCTCTGAAATGGAACTGCAGAGGGAGGGAGGTGGTTCCTGGGACATAGGCCATGGTCGCCTTTGAGTGCGGCCCCTTGGCTGACCATGGTGGGCCCAGCTGGGCGGGCAGGCCAGACTGCCCACCTCCCAGGGGGCCACCTGTCACACAGGTGCCTCATCACCAGTCCCTTGATGTTGCAGACCAGTTCTGGTTTATAAAACTCTGGGCCAAGGGCTTTAGCTCAGCAGGCAGCTCTGTCTCCCTGAATCATCTGTAAAGTCAGGGAGCAGTGGACATCGAATGAGGGCCCAAGGACATCAAATTCTTCCTTAAGGGAAGAATCTGGGTGCCAGTTTTCTGATGGCATGGAGAGGTGGTGGAATGGCGGAAGCCACCGCACCCCCCCCCAGATTCTGTGGTGGCATTTGGTTGGGGGTACTGCCCCAGCCCTGTGGCCAGAGTAGATCCTGTTTTTGATTTAGTTGAGTTTCACCATCTAATCTTGTTCGTTTAGGTAAGGGTCTTACTCCTCCAAAAAAGAGAATAAAGGAAAGTATACACAGACCACTGCTGTAGGGCCTTCTGTCTGTTGGGCAGGCCCTCAGCCGGACATCCGGGCACACCTGGCCCAAGGGACAAGACCCTTCTGCTGCCACTCAGATTCCGGTGCACATCCTCTGCCCCTGTGCCCCCACTAGAACGTTCCCCAGCCCAGAGGCCCTGAGCCCCCTGAGCAGTAGCAGACCCACTTCCAGCTGACTGCAGGGTAGGTCATGCTCACTTCATGGAACAACAAGAATCATTCACAGATTTTTTTTTTTTTACTTTTTGGGGGTCAAGTACATACAGTGTGCATAAATTCAGCACACAGAGGTATAGCTTCAGTGTCAGCAGCATGATTGTATCTGTCACGAAGATTTTCTGAGGAGTGTCCTGTAGACAGTGAATGTCCAGTTGCCCCCCCTGTTGCGGGGGATGAGGGGGGCGTGGCAGGAGCGCAGCATCTCAGCTGTCCTCTGTTGCAGGGCCGGATCATCGAGTGCACACACTGCGGCTGCCGGGGCTGCTCCGGCTGAGGCCCTGAGGACCTGACCCGTCTTCACCCTGAACTTGGGACTTACGGGTTTCTGCCTGTTGCGCCACCCCCTTTCCTGGGAGCAGCTCTTCTCGCGGAGCAGTGCTCCTGGCCTGAGTTGGAGCATGGTCTTTATATGTAAAGGCTTTGGTGTTTCTCAGCCGTGATTTGTAGGAATAAAATTTTTAAACCTTCTGGGTCCTGCATTCATTCTTTCTGAGAGCCAGCGGACTGTGGACCCCAGTGGGCGAGTGCCAGGCCCTAGAAACCGGTCACCCTTGGGCCTCCGTCCTGACTCCACCTTGTAGGTGCTGTGTGACTGAGCAAGTTCACTTTCCTCATCCGTGATGGGGACGACCACCTCCCAGACGAGGATGACCAGAGATGGCGTGCCAAGGTGGGTCAGGCTGCTCCTGGACCTGCCACGAACTTGTCAGGCACCCTGGACCCAGTGTTTGTCCTCATCCCAATGCCTACAAAACGCTACTTCCCTCACTCTGGGTCGGACCCTTCCTCGGGCTTGAGGCCACACGAGCACATGCACAGGCCCGATGTGGAGTGGCCCCTGGGCTCCCGCAGAGCTCTGTAAACACTGTGCCCTTTGTCCCAGCTCTGCTCGCGGCCCCCAGCGCCTCCCATCACCTGCCTCCGAGGCCTCCGTCCACATCCGCCTCTGTGATGGGGTCTCGGTCCCCCTGGTGCTTGGTCCGGAACTTCTGCCACGGGTGGGGGGTTTCCTCTGCTGGCATCACTTTCAGCCACTGCTTGTAATAAGCTCGGAAGCCATCGATCTTCTCCAAGTAGGTGTTTTTCTCTTTGTACTGTAAGTGGAAAAGGACGGGGTCAGAGGAGCCATTAGTCACCACACGCTACACACGGCTCATGCCAGACCATGGCTGCTGGCTCAGGCCTCAGGGAAGCTGTTCTTGCTTCTAGGTGCTTAAGGGAAGAGGGCAGGAAAACTGTTCGATACTCGAGTTGCTTACTGTCAAGAAACACAGCTGCTGTGGGGCAGGCCAGCTTCCCATCTGCTAACAGTCCCTCGAAGTTTGTGCTGCTGTGTTACACCCAGGGACAGCCCCCCCCGCCCCCCAAGCTAGACTCCCTGGGTGCTACCTCTGCCCCCACAGCCTGAGAGCCTCCCCTGTGTCCTCTCAGCACTGCTGCAGTGTCTCTGGAGAAGGGGAAGGAAAGGGAGGAAACAAGATGCGCCCGGCAGATGCCAAAAGAAAGCTGGTAAAGAAAGAACGTAGGAAAAAAACCAGCCAAAAATATATATTCGAAGGTAACGATGACACACAGCTGGCTTCCAAAGATTTAACAATTCCAAACTTGTAGGTACCTAATCCAGCCTGAAAGTACAGAAAACAAATCTTGACAGGCACAGACAGAATAAGTCACGGTCGTAAGGGACTAGGAATGTGATTTAATCCAGTAAGATCCAGGCCTGTGGTAGTCTGGTATCTGGACTGAACCTGAGAAGATCCCTTGAGGACTGTACACCACGGAGTAAAGAGACAAATTCACTACCTGGAAGATACCTGCAACGTGGGACAAGAGAGGAGTATCCAGAACACATAAAGAACTCTGGAGAATCAGACAAGACTAACAGCCAACTGTCCACAGATGCCCAGTTACGCCCTCTGCCTGGCATATGCTCTATTGCTGTCTCCCGGATTCTTACTGAGCCCTCAAAATGGCCCTCAAGTGTTGCGCCTGCACAGCGGTCCCTGACCCCATGCCTGGTGTGTCCCTGCCCGTCTCCCTCCCTCCCCACTGGGATGGTGCTCCTCCAGGCCACAACTGCTCTGGAGGCACTCAACATGGGGTCTGACTCCCGTGGGCCCTAAATCCGAACCCCCACAACCTGCTATCCTCAGTACAGCAGGGAGAGAAGTGGACATTACAAAGCAGATTCTGTCGCGGCCCGGCTGCCATCCCCGTTCACTGGACAAACAACAGTCTGTATCGGGCACCAGGCAATGGGCAGGTACCGGGGAGGCAGGTGAGCGGGGCTTATGGTTTTGTGAAGGTGACAGTCACCTGTGCAGGCGTAATCACAGGTTGTGAAACACAGTGACAAGCAACAGGGCTGGACGTGGTGGGCAGGAGGGAGCAGCAGGGCACCCCTGAGAAAGAGCCGTCAGCGATGAGACCCACAGGGTGAGGAGCCAGTTACGGGAAACACAGGGGGAGCCTACTCAAGGCAGAGGGAATACAAAAACCCCGAGAAGGGAAGGAGGCGGAAGGCCAGTGGGACTGACTGAATCCAGGGAAGAGCGGCCAGAGATGAAGTGGGCCACAGGGACTCATGGGCTGTGGTTTAAGGAATTTGGGATTTCTCCTAAGGGAAGCCACTGACAGTTTAACGCAAGGGAATTCCAGTTCCGAAGGCCAGACCCAGGGTTGGGGCGGGGGGAGGCGGGATGGTTAAAGAGAGGACGGGCATGTGAGAGGTTGGCGCACACACCCGATCAAAGGAGGGCGGGTACTGGGCTGCAAACTCCAGCTGGCGGATGACCACCTCGTTCACTGGGACACTGTTGCACCTCATGTGCTTCAGGATGTTAATGAGATAGGTGTAGTCCAGCTTCTTGAGGGCCACGTTGATGAGGGTGCTGTAGATGTGGGTGTTGGGGGTCATGTGGGATTTCTGGAACATCACAGACATTCGATCAGCGAGGTGATGGCAGTCGTTGGGACAAAGCAGCCCACTGTGCGTGTCAGATGGCCATTAGGCCAACCAGCCACCAGGCCAAGACGGTCCGAACCTGGTGCCAACGACGGGCTGTACGCCCCGCTCCAAAGGAAAGCACGTGTGCCCCGCACTGTAGGTCCATCCCACCCAGCCTACCTTCCCCCGCCTGAAGAGCTCGCTCAGAGATCGATGGCCTCAGGCAGTAAACCACGCACAGGAGACCACCTCCTCGGCTCCTGGTTGCGGGTTTACTGCAACCCCTGCCCCCGGAATTCGGATACATCCCTGCTCTTGTCATGCCTCCCTTACCTCCAGAGTTGGGGCCAAGACCTGTTGCCACCCCCCCATCTCTCCCCACTGTAACCACCTTCAAGACTCTAACGTTTTCAAAGCCAGTTCCTGCAGCAAATCACCAGGGTCCACTTTCTCTCAAGCTAGAGCGACCGCACTCTCCCTGCCCCCATGCACACTGTGCTGTCCGGGTGCAGAGGCCTGGGGGTTCAGGAGGGCCCAGCTCTCTCCCTGAACACCCCAAGTTAGCACCATGGGTCCCCCCACCAGGCCTGGACCCACTCACCTTCATGTCCGCAAGCAGCTGCAGACCGTCTGCTGGCCTGTGGCACCCAGTGGCCAGGCCACAGAAGGTCTGCAGGTTGGGGGTGAGGCCCCTTTCTGCCAGGAGCGGCAGCAGCGCCTGTGGGGACGGGGACGGCACTACCGTAAGCTGTGACCCACCAGGCCTGGCAGGAGCCTTCTCAGCTGAAGCCCGTGGCTGGCTGGAGACCTCAGGGGCACAGCTCTGCTCAGAGGCCTCCCCGCTCCCTCTGTGACCACACTGGGTGCGGGTCTCAGCCCGGCTCGCAAGCACCCAGCTCCCCGGAGTTGGGCGGCTCTGCGAGGAGCCCCGGCCTTCCAGCCCGTCTCCACCACGCCCTGCCCCCCTCCCCGAAGCCCTGCGTATTCCCATGCCTCTCTGCTCCTCTGCTGGCCGTCCATCCCAGCACTCAGGCCTTCAACATCAGGTGAGCACCAGTGGTCTCCGAGGGCCCTGGCCCCACAGTCCAGGGCGGGACGACAACAGTGTGGGAAGTGAAGCTGAGGCTGCGGCGGGCCGGCGGCTGAGGAAGAGGACGCCCTCGCAGCCCAGCCGGCTCAGGGAGGGGCCCTGTCCTGTTCAGCTTGTCTAGAGGGCGGCGTGCTCTGCACTGAGGGCCTGAAGGCAGAGGCTGCGTCCCTGTCACCTTTGATGCCCACAAGAGCCCGGGTCAGTGCTCTGTCACAGACACGTGGACAAAATCGCACGAGGGCTCCGGTGTCCCCATCTGTGCAACGGGGGAAGCCTCGTACTGGCAGAGCTTTGTGGGGTGGTCAGCGAAGAGAGGAACGGATGGGGAGCTCTTCGAACAGCATCTAACACAGACGGCTGGATCAGTGTGTGTGGGTCGGGGGGTGTGGCCGAACTGTGGGGACACTCAGCAGCCACCAGGCTCTTAGGCCACGTGCCCCTCGGGCAGCGTGAGGACGTCTGCCTACACCCACCTGTGAGCTCCTCAATGGGGACGGGCAGCGCGGCCGGCCGGTCACCCCTCCATCCTCAGCTTGGCTCAAGCCCAGGCCCAGAACGGAAGCTCTAGTCAGTCTGCCCACCTACCTCAGGATCAGATGACGCCCCCTGCAGGGGAGCCAGGTCCTGCTGTCGGAAGGTCAGAGGGAACGGGAAGGAGGGGCCCCAGCCTTGAACCTCGTGCCCGCCTCCGAGCCCCTCACCTTCGCCCCCTCCAGATCGCCAAGCTTGCTCTTCTTCCTCATCAGTGTGTTGAAGAACGTCACGTCAGCTTCCACCTGGTACGTGTCCAGGACGGTCAGCAGTGAGGACTCTGCGGGACTCCCGGGCTCCACCACCTCAGCCAGCAGCGTGAGGGTTTTGATGTTGGGCCGGAGCCCATGCTCTGCCATCTTACCCAAGAAGCCCTCTAGGCCCCCCATCAAGGCCAGCCTGTCAGCTGGGGTGGTCACAGTCCCAAAGGAGACCACAGCTGGGGGGACTGCTCCCAAGGTCAGGAGGTTGGCCTCCAGCCCCCAGCGAGAAGGTTCTGGGGCCAAGGAAGTGAGGGCCACCATGCGGTCAGGCTCCGTCTTAGTTTCCACCTCAGGCTGGGCCTTGCTGGGGGCTCTGGCTTTGTGAGGCTCTGGAAGGCCCTCAAGCACCTGAGAAGGTTCCAGAAACAGCTGCCTCTCCAGGGCCTCCACGTGCAGCCTGACTGACATGCCATCGCCCAGCCGGGCCCGGGCTCTCCTCTTTGCCCAAAACTCACGTGCCAGGGGCTGGAGCGTGACCGTCTCCTCCCTGGGCCTCAGGAGCAGTGCTGAGGCCACCTCTGGGTCCCCCAAGCCGCAGTCTCGAGCTGCCCCCAGGAGCAGGTTGTAGCCATGCTGGCTTGGCTGGAGCCCCAGACTCAGCATCTGCCTCCACACCTGCCGGCAGAGACAAGCTCAGCTCCGTGCTCCTTCTCAGAAGAGCTGTCAGTGAGCAGACGCGAGCAGTCAACAACCATTCAGCAAGTGCAAGGGGCCAGGAAGGAGCTGGAGAGCACCTAACCCGATGCCAGGCTCTAGACAACTAAGGATCCTAAGAATCTGAGGACTTGCGGAGACTTCACGGGGGCGCTACTCCTTTCCTCTCTCTAGCTCACCCCAAAACTGTTCTCCACTTTCACCTCTCTGCCTCCTCCCAGGGCCCCTGTACTGGGAACAGACTTTGCCCTGGGTCTCTGCCCACCTTCTCTGTACTTCTCTGGGGAGGGACAATCACAGAGGCTAGGTTCTGGAAGAGTCTAGGCTGACTTAAGAAATGGATTTAGCGGCACTTCGAGTGCCCACTGTGTGCCCTGTCCCATGCAGCCTCCAGGAAGTATGAGAGCACAGGGCGGGCACGGTGGAAGGGGGCTCAACCAGGAAGAGCACCTCCCAAGCTGGGGGTCCAGGCAGCCCTATCTCCTCTTGAGATGAGATCATTTTCATTCCACAGCACAGCGCCTAGCACACTCAGTGTGTTCTCCACAAAGGACCGCTCTGGTCATGTCTGGGTCACTCTGACACCCAGACCACGCCATTCCTAAAATGCCACACAGGGCTCACTGGTCACACTGGATTCTTTGTCTGCAGGCTCAAAGAACGGTCACATTCAGTGGGACGAGAGCTCACATCTGACTTCCTGTCCTCATCAGGGATAAGTGTACAGACAAGGCAGGGACCGTTCAGGCCCAGGTGGGGACGGCCTGCAAGAGGTCCGCTGCACACCTGAGAGGGTCTTAAGGAGGGCAAGGGTCTGAGCAGGCACCTCCACGGGGAAGCATTGACAGAACTGAGGTTTAGCAGGGATTCGGGCTCTAGGAGTTGGGATGGACCTCGGTTCAAATCCCAGCTCTGCTTCATAGCCGTGAGACCTTAGGCCAGTTACTTAACCTCTGTGAGACTCACTTTCCTTATCCGTAAAATGGGGCTGATAGTACCTAGCTTGAGCAGTTTAATAAATGCACAACACAAACCAGCTATTAGCACTACAGACCGTTTCTAACTAGAACAGATCTAGAACAAAGAAAGGGAGGAACTAGATCTTGGCTGATTTTCACTAGAAAGCTACTGCTTCCAGAGGGAAGGCAAGCATCTGGTCCAGGGCTGTCCCAGGTCCCTGGGGCTCAGCCTCCACATAGGGAGGCCATGGTGAGAAGCCACCTAGGGAGCTTGCTGATATGCCGATCTGGACATAGTAGGCCCACGGTGGGGCTGAGACCCTGCTTTTCTGACAACTTCCCAGGTGAGGCTGATGCTGCCGGTCTGTAGGCCCCACCTTAAGCTGGAGGGCTCTAGGTGAGCTCTGGGTCATTCCCACCTGTGGTACCATTGCTACCACTGGACTGGGGGTGGGGGAGGTTCTCTCTGGGGATTTAAGGTAGAATCAGAGCAGTGTATCTCAACCCTGATGTCTGTGAGAATCTCTCAGGACTACATGCAGAAATGCTGAGTGGGGGCCTGTGGGAGGTGGGCTGAACAAGCACTCTGGGCAAGACTGTAAGCTTTGCCGATATGAGCTAGCTGCCCAAAAGGCCACTCAGCAAGTGAAAGAGCGCGGGCTGGCTGTGCCCTCACTTGGAGGGCAGCCATGCGGCCTCCTCGGGCCTCCTCCCCCTGCCATCTGTAAAACGGTGGGGAGCAGTGTGCTTTGCGAAGGCCAAAATATTGCAAACGTAAAAACACCCAGCATGGGGCAGTCGCAGGAGCTCAAATGCACATGTGATCATCATTTGTGCCCGATACAGGTGCACAGGAGAAGGGGGACAGCATGAGAGGCAGGAAGGCAGAGCGGTGAGGGACAGACCTGCAGGGCGTATCGGAAACCTGTCTTCTTGTCCTGGATGCAGCCCATGAGCAGGTAACTGAAGGTCTCCTCTGTGACTGCATGCCCTTTCTGGACGATTTCCTGGAGGAGGGAGTGGAGGCCGTGGTGAGAACTGGTGGCAGAGCCCGGGCCGGGGCCCGGGGGCTCTGACTCAGGGCAGACACTCCTGGGGCAGGCCCCGGGCCGTGCACCTTGAAGAGGCGGGACGTGAATGTGGCTCGAGGGTGGCTCAGAACCAGCTCCTCTCTGCACTCCCTCCTCCTCTCCTTCCAGGCTGCTCTCCCTGGCTGGCGCGATCACTTCTGGGCAGCCCCTCTGCAAAGACCACGCCAGCAGCCACTTTTAGCCCCTGTGCTTGAGGCACTGGAACTGCACAGAGCTGGCTTCAAGTCCCAGCTTTGCCACTGGCCACCTGTGAGTGTGGACACGGCAGGAAGCTCCCCGGCCCCAGCCTCCTCATCCCTAGAGCGGGGTCACAGGCAGGACCCCCCTAGAGGGTGTCTGGAACAACCTCACCACAGAGGGTGGTGCCTGCCCACGGCACGTGCTCGTGGCGCTTGCTACCCCTGGCCTCCCTCAGGCCTGTCGGGGTTGGCCACTGCCTTCTTGAAACGTTCTTCCACCTCTCAGCCCCTCAGGGGCTCCTCCTCGAGCCTGTCTTCCTCTGTCCCTCTTGTGAGCATGGCTGTCCCCACCCTACCCCACCACTGCCGCTCTCCCATCCCCACTTCTGTCACCAAACCTTCCACATCAGTGAGGTTTTATTTTTTTTATTTATTTATTTATTAAAGATTTCATTTATTTATTAGAGAGAAAGAGAAAGCACAAGCAGCGGGAGTGGCAGGCAGAGGGAGAAGCAGGCTTCCCGCTGAGCAAGGAGCCCGATGCGGACCTCGATCCCAGGACCCTGGGATCATGACCTGAGCCGAAGGCAGACGCTTAACCGACTGAGCCACCCAGGCATCCCAATTTTTTTTAAAGATTTTAGTTATTTATTTGAGAGACAGAATGAACAGGGGGGAGGGGCATAGGGAGAGGGAGAAGCGGGCTCCCCGCCGAGCAGGGAGCCCGATGCGGGGCTCAATCCCAGGACCCTGAGATCATGACCTGAGCCGAAGGCAGATGCTTAACGACTGAGCCACCCAGGCGCCCCTCTCAGGGAGGTTTTAGTTTGTGCTCCCTCTTCCTGGACAATCACAGCTGTCTCTTAACTGGTCCCTCTCCCCCACCAGCTAGAGTGACCTGCATAAAATATCAATGGCATCTCTGCACAGGTCAGGGGCCTAGCAGCCACACTGCCCTCTTCTGGAAGCTTCAACTACCTGCCTCTCACACAGCACCCTTCGGAGGGTTGCGTTACTCTCAAGGTCTCCAGGCTCGAGACCCCATGATCCTGCCTCTCCTGCAGGGCAGGCCAGCTCAAGGCAGCCAACCCACGGTCTGGTCAAAGGCTGCTCTGCACCACGTGGTGCCTGGACAGCCCATCAGGTCGTCTGTCCTGCGGGTGGCAGGCGCGACCTCACAACGTGCAGTGAGGAAAAGCGTCAGTCAGCGATGGAAAAAGCGAGACCAAACCTAAGAGCAGAGAGCAAGCGTGCCCTGCCCATGGGCCTGAGGGAAGACGAGGCTGCCAAGGGTGTGCCGAGGTTCTCCTGAGGTTTGGTCGTGGGGACCTAGAGCCTTCCTTTAGGTGTTCACTCATGTTTGTCTCCCTTCCCAACCTGAGCGGGCAGAACCACCACCCTGCTCATGCTCCTCCCTGCTTAAACCCCCTCACTGTCTCCTTCTCTGGAACTGGGAATAAAAACCCTCCTTACAGCCGGGGAATAAGAGGCTACAGGGGGCACCTGGGTGGCCCATTTGATCTTGATCTCAGCTCAGGTCTTGATCTCAGAGTCAAGAGTTCAAGCCCCACATGGGCTCCAAGCTCCAGCATGGAGCACACTTTAAAAAAAAAAAAGAAAAAAGAGGCTTTGGGCCAAAGCCCTGACACAGACAGGTCCCTGCTCAGCACTCCCAGGCCCCCACTCCCCTGCTTCCCTCGAACCTGGCACCTCCTGGAAACCGGGGATTTTTGTTCACTGTTCTAAGCAGGAGGCCTTCCCTGGGGAGCACGGATTCATCCCTGGCGCTCTGAAGCCCCGCCCCCCGCTGCGGCACCAAGGGGTCCCACACACGGAGTCACAGCACACGCAGCCCACCGCCCTCCTAGGGGTGGGACCTCTTTAGCTGTCAGACTGAGGCTTCTGAGAGTTGGTGAACCCGAGCCCGACTCCTCATCAGCCCCTGAACCCTCCCGTGAGGGACAGTGAGCCACAGCCTCACATCTGCCACGTGGGACCGGCCGCGCAGTGGGGAGAAGGAAGGAAGGGGCAACCTCACCTTGAACACGTCGAGGCACATCCTGAGGTCTGCACACATGGCCGCCATCTTCAGCAGGGCATGGTACGTTTTCAAGTTGAGCTGGAAGTTCCGGGCCTGGAGCTGCTGCCGGAGCTTCAGGGCACTCTGCAGTGCAGAGTCCTTCCAGGGGGACTCGGCGCAGACGTTGAACAGGGCTGTGTATGTGGCATCTGAGGGCTCCAGGTCCCGTTTTTTCATCTGTGGAGATGGGAAGACATCTGGAGGTGGCTCTGGGGTCAGCTGGACACACAGGTGACATCCACCCTGAGGGAAAGCTAGAGAGGACCCTGTTCCTGCATTAAACAGATCCGCTAGCAGGGCCTGTGCTAAGGCGGAACTGAGTGACATGTCAGAGCCTCCTCCTCCAAAACCCTGACTTGGCCAGAGGGCTCTGAAAATGGACCCTGCATCCAGACGCACCAAGCAAAAAGTCATCCTCCCCATGGCCGTCAGCCCACTCTGGGCCTGAGATGCCTATAGCAGGATCCTCCTGATGCTCCCAGGTCACCCTAACTGTTAAGACCCATGTGGTGGAGCTGGTCTGGGAAAAGGAAGGAGGGGACAATCAAACCCCAGCTCCAGCATTTACTAACTGAGGGGTCGTGGGCAAGTTAGCTCCTTGTCAGAAAAACGGGGATGGTACCATTACCTTTAAAGGCTGTTGTGAGGGTCAGCTAGGAGAGTGGCCCCCAGACCAGCAGCAGCCAGGAGCATGTCACTGCAGCATCTCAGGACCTCCTCCCCACCCCCCACCCCCCACTGCCCTGCAGAGTCACAAACTCGGGGGTGAGGCTGCCACTCTGCTTATCAAGCCCTCCAGGTGACTGAGCAAGCTGGAGTTTGAGAAGCTCCTGGTAAACCCAGTGCTCTTTCCCAGAGAAGGGCCATCTGACCGAGCACAGGTGACAAACTGCTTGCAGAGTGTAAAGAGCCTTGTTCTCAGAGTCAGGCCATTTGGGGCTCAAATCCCAGCCCCAATGCTCTCAAGCAGGGTGACCTTGGACATGGCCCTTCATCTCTCTGGGCCTCTGTTTCCTCATCTGAAAAATGAGGATCATGATCCCGACTTTGAGGATGATGTATGCTGTGTGCATCCTCACATACACGACAAATGTGTCCTGAGGACTTACTACAGGCTGGGCACTGGCCACCAGTGGTTACAGGACAGACACAGCCTGTTTTCATCGAGCTTCCACTCCAGCACAGGAGGAAACATAACAGACAAACAAGTAATCAACAACAGTAATAAGGGCTGCAAAGGACATGCACAGAAAATGGCAAAGGAAAAATAGTAGAGGTGGAGAAAGCTGGCAAACACCACTTTCGCCAAGTGACCAAGGTACGTGTCCTCTCTGATAAGTCCCCTGACAGGAAAAGGGCACTTTACCTTTGTGATAGCCCTTCCCCGAGCCCATAACCCCAGCCTCGTCACAAGAAAATACAAATGGAGGGACTCCTGGGTGGCTCCATCGGTTAAGCCTCTGCTCAGCAGGGAGTCTGCTTCTCCCTCGGCCCACCCCTCGCTTGTGCTCTCTCTCTGATAAATGAATAAAATCTTTAAAAAAAAAAAAAGAAAAGTATAAATATAGAGACATTCTACAAAATCCTTGACCAATACTCCCTAAATCTGTCAATGTCAGGGGGAAAAAAAGGAAACTCCAAAAATGTCACAAAATGGAGAACCCAGACTGGATACAGGAATAGAAAGAGTATCTTGGTGGAAAAATGTGGTGAGATCCAAGTAAAATCTGTAGTTCATCCACAGTCATGTACCAGTGGTTTCTTAGTTCTGACAAATGCACCGTCACTACGTGAGATGCTAATATGGGGATTAGCTGGGTGACAGGTATTTGGGAACTTTTTCTACTGTCTTTGCAGCTTTACCATAAACCTGAAAGTGTTCCAAAATAAAAAATTAAAAAAAAATAAGCAGCAAATTGATGGAGAGTAACTTAAGGCAAGAAAGACTTGCACTTCTCTGAGGTGACAGGTTGTAAGTCACTTAAGGATCCTGCGCATGTGAGGAAGGGCTGTTACCGGACTGTGAACCAAGAACCATAGGAAACACCCCCCTGGCACCAGCCACCCCTCACTTAGCACCTGAACGCTTTTCTGCTGGTCAGGGAAGCCTCCCGTCATTCCCCACCATGATATTTCATTAGGTCTATTAGAGGATATGTCACTTTATTGTTTGTAACCACAATTCCTCCCCCTTGCTTCCAGCTAGAGATGACCCGGCCTCGGGCAGGCACATCCCAGATGACAAGAAGTCTTGCTTCTGGCGGCGAGAGAGGGTGGGATCACTCCTCCTAGAGCCTACTAACCTCCTAGGCAAAGCTCTTTCTCGGCTCACAGAGGAAACAGCTTCCTGGCTGTGAGAACAATAAATACAACACAGGAAGTGGATGAATATAAAGCGAAACCATCTTCCAAGAGGGAATGAAAGCCCTTTTCAGAGGACCAGCTTTGGAAGCCAAGTGCGCATGTGTGTCCGGTGTGGGGAGTAAGTAGGGGTGAGGGGACGTGAACACACCTGGGGCAACGGTGGAGAAGGAAGGGGGCACGTGGGCCCTGCCGCAGTCAAGGCAGGTGCTGGAGGACCTTCCAGCGCATCTCATGTCATCATCCAAGATCACCTCCACTTTACAGAGGATGAAACAGAGGCTGGGAGGTTAGTCTGGCCGCAGGTGACATCCCACCATGCGTGCCTGGCTCTCTCTGCCTCTAAAGCCCAGGCTCTCTGGAGCCTCGCCCCCTGCCCCCAGCCCTGGGCCCCCCACTCACATCGTTGTAGAGGCGGAAGGCCTTCTTCAGGTATCCAGCCCGCCCGCAGCCCCCAATCAGCACCGTGTAGTTGCACTCGAGGGGCTGGAGTCGCTCCTCCTTCAGCATCTGCCACTCAAACAGGTCCAGGGCCTCGGCCAGCTGGGAGGGAACACGGGAGGGGGCTCAGGGCGGCCTCAGAGACCCTCAGCAGAGGGAAGGAGACTGAGAATGAGGGACCCTCCCAGGCCTGCCCAGGAGCTACACAGCCGCTCTGGGCCTCTGCCACCAGCCTCTTGGTCCCTGTGCTCTGCAGCAAGAGAGCTTTGTGGTGGCCAGGAGGAAAAGCCCACTGAACTCCCACCACCTATGAAGGCTCTTGGCCCACTGCCATGGCTGCCTTCCCTCCAGCCAGACGATGAACTCCTTGAAAGCAGGGCCGTCCATGTCTTTGCCTCTTTGTGGGCCTACAGTAGAGCCAGGGCCTGGCCCTCAGTAAGTCCTCAGAAAATGTTCATTCTGCAAATCCCGGGATCTGTCCTGCCCTTGCTTCCTGGGTGACCCCATCCGCAGCGCCAGCTCCCTGGGTCTAAGTGGGAATGGGAGACCGGGTTCTGCACACTCAGGGCCACTGTGCTGCACGATCGCAGGGGGCCGTTCAGAGCAACACTCCTGTGATGGCGCAACCCAGCAGCCCCGAGTGACCGGCTTCCTCTGGCTGCAAAGCCCCGTGGCCCACAGTCATCTCTACCCCACCCACTCCTTACACCATCCCCTTTAAACCCTCAGTTCACTCCTTTACAACTTAATTTTCTTTTTCATCCAGTGGTTCAACCAGTAATGACTGAATCCTGCTATGTACCAGGCAAGGTCTATTTGCTGGGGATACAGCTGTGAACAAGAGGGGACTCCTTCACGGAACGTGTCTTCTAGTGTGGAAAGACCTACGCCGAGTGAGATAACTAAGAAAAATATATACTGTGTCAAATGATGTTAGGTTTTAAAACAAAAATAAAGCAAGAAGCGCCTGAAGAAGGGGATGGGAGATTCAGTTTTAGATATGACAGCCAAGCAGGGCTTCACCCAGAAGGTGACAGAACAATGATCTGAAAGAGGTGAGGGAAGGAACAACACTGTCTGAGAAAAACAGCCTGTGCAAAGGCCCTGAGGCAGGAGTGTGCCTGGGAGTTGGAGCTGGAGGAACAGAGAGGAGGCCGGGATGGCTGCAGCACCGTGCAGAAGAGGTAAGAGTAGAGAGGTAAGGGGGGGTGGAAGGCAGACCCTGCAGGCTTCATAAGCTATTCTGAGGGCTTTGGCTTCCCTTTATTTCTCAACTTTTCGTTACGGAACAGCTCAAATATACACAAAAGTAAAGAGAATAGTATAACTACAATGGTTATTAAATTTGGCCAATCTTGTTCATCCATACCCTGTACTCCTGCTCCAAACTGATTTTTTTTTTTTTAAGTAGGCTCCACACCTAAATTGGAGCCCAGTGTGGGGTTTGAACTCACGACCCTGAGATCAAGACCTGAGCGGAGATCAAGACCTGAGCGGAGATCAAGACCTGAGCGGAGATCAAGAGTTGGACGCTTCACCAACTGAGCCCCCCCGGCACCCCCAAAATGAATTTTTTAAAGCACATTTCTAGACATTACATCATTTCATTCCCCAGATCTTCAACACACACCTCTAAGAGATTTTTAACATAAATACAATGTCATTATCAACACCTAAGAAAATGAACATCAGTGTCATCGAACACACTGAGGGTCCTGGAAGGAAGAGTAACATAATCTGCTTTAACAGGGTGGCTCTGTACTGCGCGCAGACGTGGGAGAAGGAGGTGGTAAGGGCGGCAGGGAGCTCAGTGACAAGTGTCGTGATAGCTGAGGGGGTGAGGATAAGGCGAGGCCTGGGCTTTCAGGGGTAGCGCTGTGCAAAGTGTGAGGATTGGCAACATTTTGAAGATCCAGCTGGTGAGAGAAAGAGAAGAGTCAGGGACGGCCCAAAGGCTTCCGGCCTGGGCAGATGCAACAATGCAATTGCCATTTAGTGAGATGACGACAGTGTAGGGAAAACAAGGCTGGAAACCAAACTTTCAGGCCCATGTAGGTGAGCATAAGGGAGCTGGTGAGGTAGCTGGATATGCAGACTGGGAAGGCTGGGCTGGAGATACGAACATGAGAACTGCAATTGGAGGGGGGGGGGGTGTGAAAGCCAGGGGGCTGGTGGATTGCCCAATGCAGCACCCAGGGTGAGTGAAGACAGAAGAGCCCTAAGCATCCAAATATTTAGAGATCGGGAAGGTAAGGTGGCCCCTCCAAAATACTGGGCTTCCAGGGAAGTAGAACCGGGAGCAACAGAATCCAAAGGTTCCCTCACCTTCCCTTCTTTGATCAGGTGTTTGCACTGAAAGAAGTACCAGTAAGGCGTGTTTTTCCGGCCCCGCCATATCTCTGGCTCCAGCCCCCTTTCCTCGTCTTCAGCATTCTGTTCCCTGAGACGTAAGTTATACAACTGGGCTGTCGATTTTCGGAACATTCTCCTCGAGGAGTACTTGTTGGAGAGGGTCCCAAAGCTCTCCTCTTCCTCCTGAGCGGCCGTGGGGCCAGGCTGGCTCAGGTCAGAGCTGAGGCTGCTCATGTTCTTCGGGTTCCCTTGGCCAAGGGGCAGCTGTGAGGGGGAGCTGCTGCAGGCTCGAGTCAGCCCCACAGCCCTCAGCCATGCAGGCCCCTCCCTGCCTCCTGCCCATTTGGCTCCGAGAGGGCCAAGGTGCTGGAGGGTGGACAGTCCCACAGGGCGGAGTCCAGAGAAAAGCCGGGCCAATCTTGCGAGGTCCATGTCTGGCTTTCTCCTCCAGGGCCTGGCACAGGTCAGAAACATAATGAAGACTACTTGGGTCTGTAGTCACAAAAGGCAGAGAGAAGACAGAGAAGTGGTGACAAGCACGAGTGCTGAGATTAGAACGCCTAGGTTCAGATTTCAGTTTTGCCAAAGAACCACCCATGAGTCCCTGGGCACTCGCCGCTCTGGTCTCAGTCTCCTGCCCTGTGAACTGGGGTTAACTAGAACCATCGCCCACAAAGCACCATAGCAACAATTGAACGAGGCCTCTGATACACGGCATGCAGCACAGTGCCGGCACAGTAAGCACTCAACAGACATAAGCTAGTGGTATTATCAAGCCATGATCTAAGAGACCAGGCACGGAAGTTAGACCTGAGTCTGAGTCCTGGCCAGAGCTCTAGGACCAGGCCCATCCCTTGACCTTCCTGTGCCTAGATTTCTTCAGCTGCAAGATGAGGATGATCCTACCGACCTCACCACAAGGTTATAAACATTCAATGAGATGTTTCTAGTACATCTCATTTAATAGATGCTTTAAAAATTGTAGCTATTATAATGTATTATTAGAAAAAAACAGCATTCTGGGCCTCTGCACAAGGAAGTTAACTCAAGCATGCCTTTTCTGCAAAATTTATGGATAAATGGGCCAGAGTTGTGCTGTTCAATATAGTAGCCACTGGCCACATGTGGCTACTGACCACTTAAAATGTGTCCAGTCTAAATGAAGACACACTTTAAGAACAAATCACACACCAGATTTCAAAGATTTCATACCAAAAAAAGAAGGTAAATTACACACAATAATCTTTTGACATGTCGAAATGATAATTTTGGATATATTGGGCTAAAAAAAATGTAACTTAGTTTTCACAATTTGTAAGCTTTTTTTAAGGTGGCTACTTAAAAATTTTAAATCATATATGTGCTTGCATTATATTTCTACTGGACAGTGCTAGGCTAGAGATCCTGGTCTGCACACTTCAAACTCTTCAATAAAAAAATATCAGGGGGCGCCAGCGTGACTCAGTGGGTTAAGCATCTGCCTTCCACTCAGGTCATGATCCCAGGGTCTTGGGATGGAGTCTAGCATCGGGCTCCCTCTTCAACGGGGAAGTCTGCTTCTCCCTCTCCTGCTCTCTCTGTCAAATAAATTAATAAAATCTTAAAAAAAGAAAATGTAAAATTACATATATGCTCAAGTTACATTTCTGTTAGAGCGGCAGGCCTCACCAGACAGGGAATGCTAAGGGCCCTCTGTACTAGTGTCACCAGGGTGCTGGTCAAGAGAGGCTGTCTAATACGGTACCCAGACCTGGGTTCACAGGCAGCCCAGCTCCACAGCCAGCCAGTCTCACCTTTGCATTCGGCTGCACTGCTCCAAGACCCCCAGCAAGTCACTCCCCTTCCTGAGCCTCGGTTATTAATCAATCTGCAATCACTTCCGAGGTCTAATTTTACATTTTCAAGTAGCCACATTAGATAAAGTGCTCACATGCATTAAATGAAATGCACCGCATTGCAAGAAAAAACCCCAATGATACCGAAATAGGTATCAATACGTTTTTTAAAAACTCCTCCTATATTAGTGCTTTTTCGACGCATTAATACCAAGATCCTGCCATCCTGTCACAGTAGGGATCGGTGTACCTGATAGCTTGTATTAGCTGCAGATACTGTGTCTCCAGCCATCATTTACACTCATCTCCATTAGAAATCACGACTTAGTTTAGGGCCCTGTTAACGCTACTCCGTCAGTCACGGAAGGAAATGCTCACTTCACACAGAGAAAACTAAAGATGCAATTTTCTTTCTACCCAAGTTCATTCACCTGCCCAAGCTAATAACCCCTGAATTAGAGACGCGCTGCCGCTGTCCTCTCTGGGGGACCGGCCCCTCCCCAGACGCTCCCCGGGGCCCTCTGGCCGGCCCGACCCCCTCCACACTGGCCTTTGGAGCCTCCGTGGTCTCACTAGACGTCCCCGGCCCTGACCCCGGCTGCGACACTCGCTGCCCCTCCGTCCTGTCCCCGCCCGGGAACGGGGCTCCAGTAAAGGTCAAACAGGAACTCACTCAAAAAGTCCGGCCCAGCAAATGCAGCCCGGACTCCCGCCCCAAGTCACCCCCAGTCCGGCTCCGCGTCACCCCGCCGCGTCACCCCGCCCGCCTCACCGCGCCCGCCTCACCGCGCCCGGCTCACCGCGCCGCGGACCAGGGTCTCGTTCCCAGAGACCTTCTCCGACGCGCACGCCGCTGCAGGCTTCACGCAGGCGCACTCCGCGACGCGAACTCCCCGCCCCGTACGCGCGGAGGCGGGTTACTCCGGGCCGCGAGGAGAGACGGGAGTTCGGCTGGCGGCTAGCCTGGCCTAGCGGAGCGTCCCGTACTCCCCGCTCTATTGGCCGGGTCTGGACAGGCGAAAGGCCGGCGCGGGCTCCGGGAGCTCCCGGCATCCCTCGGGCGGCGGCGGCGGCGGCGGCGAGGCAAGACGAGGCGGAGGACCGTGTGCGGCGGGGCGGGTGGCGGGTAGAGGTGTGAGGGCGGCGAGGGACCTGAGGGGTAGTCGGGCCGGTGTGGCCGCCGCCGCCGCCATGCAGGAAATCATCGCCAGCGTGGACCACATCAAGTTCGACTTGGAGATCGCAGTGGAGCAGCAGCTCGGGGCACAGCCGCTGCCCTTCCCCGGCATGGACAGTGAGCGCGGGGCTGGGGTTGCGGGCGAGGGGCGCGACCGACTCAGCCCCGGGACCCCTCCCCCTCGGTTCGGGACGCCCTCTCCCTGGGTCCCGGACCTTCTCCCCATCGGTGGTGGAACCCCTTCCCCCACCCATCCTGGGACCCCCTTCCTCCATTCAGAGTCGGGAGCCCCCCTTTCTCCAGTCTTTGAACCTCTGGGACTATTCTAATACAGTCTTCAGGAGGGCAGGACCATGTCTGGCTGTTCAAATAGGTCTTGAATGAACGCGGGTGTCTCGGATTGGAAATTACTTCCCTCCCCTAACTAAAAGAAAATAGATATTCCCCCTTTTCATCTCCAGCCCCCCAGTTTGAGCACCCTCTCCTTGCTTTCATCAAAACTGGGCGGTTGGAGGAGTCTTGCTGGAGGAAGACCCACCTGTTCCTCTCTGTAGGAGATTCCCAGGTAGATTCTCAAGCTCCATTCTAGGATGTGCACTCCTGGGAGCCTATCCCTCACTTTTCCTCTGGACCCCAATTCTGGGCCATTCATCCTACCTGGGCAGCTGCTTGAGCTACCTTCATTCTCCACCTTCAGATGATAGCTCCTCCAGCCAACTTAGGTGGGTGTCTAGCACTTTAAAAGAAACTAGCAGTTCCCTTCTCTCCTTTCTGGACACACTTGAAGTCTAACGCTGTACCATTAAAGCTCAGAGGTCCTTGTGTTCAATCCACAGATGGGGCATCTGAGGCCTGGGTGGGGGAAGGGACTTGCCGAAGACCACTTGGTCCCTGGCGACTTGGTACATGGTGGAGCCAGGTGAGCTCTCCAGTGTTCTTGACTGGCTCAGTCCGCAGTTCCCTGTGCCATGTCCCATAACTGCCAGAGGCCCCCCATTCTCCCGCCGGTCGGTGGCTTGGCAGAGCCTCCCTGCAGCTTCATTCCCGTCAAGTGGCCACACTTCTCATGCACACGTGACCAGAGTTGTCCCACTCATGCTGACGCTTCTCTGTGAGATATTGCTTCTACCCACGTGACATACCTCTGGCAACCTTATCTTATACACACACCACCTGCATCTCTATGATACGCATAAGCAGCTGCTGACCCCTCGACACACGTGATCACTTCCTGCTTGTGCATGCACATCCACCTTTGCACATGTGGCCTTTCCCTGTGTTGATGGCATTAGCCTGAGGCCATGGAACCATCCTTGCAGGGCAACTCCTTCCCACCCACCTTTCTCCAACATGGGACCGCACCGACTTGAGTCTGTGAAGGCAGGTGCAGTAGCAAGGGGCCCACATACCTGTTCTAAGGAGAATCAAGGACATGCCTGGCCACGGGTGCTGCCCTGGCTTGGGCCTCAGACTTGGTAGGCACCCTCAGCACTCTGCCAGCCCATGAGCTAGTTCAGTGTGTTAAAGCCCTGGGAGGCCACAACCCTTTCTCCTTTGTCCGGGCACTTCACTGTCATCTTGTTTTGGGAAGAATTTTCAGTTCTCCCCTAAAGGCATACTCTTAACCTATCCGCCTGAGACCCAGGCCCCAGGATTATGGACTTCTGGCTTCAAGGAACGAAGCAAACCTCTGAGAAGAGCCCAGAAATACTCTTCTATGATGCTTTCCTTACTATAAGGCTTTTTCAACTTTTTGAAATGCAAATGAGTGACAACTTTTTGGCTTTCTAAGCTTTTTGAGATGCAAATGAGTGATACCCTCTTGACAGCCTTAAGTTTATCCTAGCAAAATCTGCCTGCTTCCGAGAATCCAAGGAATCTCCTGCAAGTTAGCGAAGAGGGGTATGAAACTGGCTTTCCAAGATGCTGTTGGTGGATTTTCAGCAACTCTAACATGCCTGCTGATAGAGAAAACTGTCTGTGAAGCCACGGACCATTTATTCTAGCAGCCATGGCGAGTGAATTCCTGGGCTCATTGCAAAGCCTTGCCCCCTGGAGTCACTGACTGATACCACACTCAGCCTTTGTTCCATCGCTCACCTCACCTGCATGGGCTGCCTCTGCAGAAGCGGAAGACTGCTCCTTTAATATTTGTGTGTTGGTGTTGCGTCACCATGAACTAGATCTTGGACAGGCAGAGTTCTGCCTCTGTGTCTTCCATTATGCTCTTCCCTCCGGAATAGCACCTCTGAGGCGCTTGTCCCTTCCTCAGAGTCCCCATTCGATTGTTTGTGTTTCCTGTGAGCTCATTCCCTCCCTCTGCCTCATGTTCAAAGACCCATGAATTAGCCCTCTGGAAGGTCCGAGTCCGAACTGGGGGTAATTAACTTCTGTGATCTTGTACCCCATCCTTCCCACACCCACTCCTAACTCCTTGAAAGCATCTCGCTTACAGGAGGCTCTCAGAATGACTGGTCTCAACATAGGTGTCTCATTTTGCAGGGAATGACCAAAATGAGCAGCTTTTTTTGTACTTGCCAGGCCTTGCATTTTTTTGCCAGTCTGTTTCCTGTACCCTGAACCCTTCACGGGTCAAAGGCAAACTGGGTCCCCTCCCCATGTCTTCAGCTGTCCCCAGGCACACCTCACTTTGATGCCTCTCCTTTCCTTCCTGCAGAGTCGGGGGCTGCTGTCTGTGAATTCTTTTTGAAAGCTGCCTGTGGTAAAGGTAAGGAATCCCTGGCTCCCCGACATTCCTCCTGAGGTGCTTTCCATCACCCTGCCCCCCAGCAGACTCGTAGGCCATCAGGCCTCTGGCTTGCATTGCTTTCTGCAGACTAGCAGTGTCCCTAGATGAAATTACTGTGCTTTGGACAGGCTAGGAACATGAGTGGGTATTCTGCCCGAAACCTACAACACGGGATGGAACCCTACTCTGAGTCTGCCTCCTCACCTCACTTTGCCTGTGGCCACGAGCTGACCTGTGACATGGACAGAAGGGCCAAGCACTGGGCGCCTGGATGGCTCAGTTGGTTAAGCAACTGCCTTCGGCTCAGGTCATGATTCTGGAGTCCCGGGATCGAGTCCCACATCGGGCTCCCTGCTTGGTGGGGGGTCTGCTTCTCCTCTGACCCTTCCCCTCTCATGCTCTCTGTCTCCCATTCTCTCTCTCAGATAAATAAATAAAATCTTTAAAAAAAAAAAAAAAAAAGGAGGCCAAGCACTGAGGTGTTCAGGAGCTTTTTCAAGATCGCAGAGTTAGCGAGTGGCTAAGCCAGTGTCTGAACCCAAGCCTTTCTGCTTCTACAGTCTACACAGGCTCACTGTCCTCTGTATCATGTCATCAAAAACCCCTATAGTAGTCTGTCCTGTGGAACCTTGTTCATACTAACCAGGCTCCAACAGAGGCTGCTGGAACCAGACTATCCACTAATTGATGAGACAGACTGCTGGGTGGGAGCTGAGATGCCAG